ATAAAATGACCAGAGCAATGCCATTGTATTAATTTTTCTTGTAATGAAGTTGCATTATACTATTTACTTCTGAACATCCTAAGGGCTATGAGAATATCATTTTGAAGAAAGTGAAGTACTCTCCTCTCTGACCCTGCCTGCCTGCCTCCCCTCTCCGTACAATAATAACTACCTAACTAAATGAACCAAAGTCAAAACAAAACTACTAATTCTCCAGGCAATACTTCCTATACTTTTCCCACCAAAGTATCCCTAATGGAAGAGAAGATTGAACAAGTGCCCCTAAGGATCTGCTGCAAGTGTGAAATTGCTTTGAAGTCATCTGTTTTAAATTAAAAACTCATGTGGATTTTGCATTCTATTCTATAATATATATCTGTTTTAATCTAAAAATTAGGTGTTTTCTTCCAATATCTTTGAGTTTCAGAACTCTAGGAAAATATGCTAAGTTTACAGCATGGCTTTGCACCTTCCAAGAAACACTCTTAAATTTATGAAGAAGAAAGGTAATTATAATTTTTTCCCATGGATCTTACATACTTGTTTCCTTTTGCTTACCTTTTACTTCAAGGTGGTATTTTGTTTGTTTTGTTTTTGTATGACTGAAAGAAAATTGACTTATTTGCTATACTAGATAGAATAGATCCTTTTTTCATACAAAGAAGTACTTTGATTCTACTAATCTTTAAAAAAGCATTGGTAGACATAACAATACTGTTCTTTAAATAATTAATTAAATTAGCTTTTTCTTATCTATTTCAGTTCACTTTTTTCTAAGAGACATTTTTGTGGTTGTTTTTGACAAAATGGGGATTCCATTTCACAAGTAGTCCATTATCAAATAAAATGAATTATATAATGTTAATCTAACTTTATTTTAACAGGTAGAGTGTGAATATTATACATACAGTATATTATGCACAGTACTGAGGGTGGGATCCTGGATTCATATGGGGCTAAAAGGTACATTAAGCAAGAAAGACAAGTTCAACTCAAATAACAAGGAAAAACATTAACTATAAATAAGAGGTAAGTGGTTTGACCTTTCACTATATTTTGTATCTTCCTGCAGACTAAATTCAAAAATACTTTTTCCTAAGGCTTTTGGAAAAAAACTTTAAAAAGAAAAGAAAAAAAAAATGGATTCTGAACAGTGATTTGACAAATGATAGTCAGTTTCCTTAGAGGACAAGGCAGGTGAGATTTCCAGGCAGAGGATGCAGCATAAAATTGTATACAGAGACAGGATATTATAAAGGTATAAAAACAGCTCAAGAGAATATATGTCTCAGTACAATGAAATGAAAAGTAGGAGGAAATGAAAGAGGGATGCAAGCAGGCAGAAGGTGCTTAAGAACTTTTCGAGTTGTGAACTCTGAGTTTGAATTTCATAGGAAAAAGAAATAACTAGACAAAAAAAAAAAAAAAAAAAAAAAAAAAACCTTGAGAATGGGGATTGCTACATCCCAAACAGTGGGATAGAAAGAGGATTTTTGGCAACAGTCTTTTGAATACACTGTCAGGAAGAATGCAAAAAAGCAGAAATAAACAAAGCACAATGGACATATTTGGCTCTTGAAATAGGAAGAAAGAACTTGGTGATATTATAAAAGAAAAATAAAAAAGGATTTAACAAAAACGCAGGAAGAGGGAAAAACAAATAAAACTGAACATATTCTTGTCTAAGATTGGAAGAAATTTATGACTGCCTTAAGATTATTCCCTTCTAATAAGACAATAAAAATAACCATCATATTCTTAGTAGTATAACAACTGCTTCTATAATACTAAACATAGAGGTATAAAGACAGTTGTATACTATTTGTATGTGTAAACTCATATAATCTTATTGTTATTTTCATTCCTTTTTTACAGATGAGGAAACGAAAATTTGGAAGCTCAAGTTTATAGAGGTAGTAATTAGCAGGGCTAGCATTAGAAATTTGTAATATATAACTAAAAAGATGGTGCTCTAGAGTCTACCTTTATCATTAGCAATAACAGGTCAAAGTAAATGAATTTTTTTCATATCTCTATAGCAGTTCAAAACACCCACATATAAATGCTATATTTATAAATATAGTCCTAAATGAGTCATTAGGCAACTTAATCACTGGTAAAATACCAAGGGTACTTACAAACTTACATGGCTATAGTATCACCAGTAGATATTATCTTATGGGACTACCATGTATGTGGTCTAGTTCATGGTTGACCAAAACATGTGGTGCATGACTGTATGGTTATATAATTATTATAATACCTATAGCATATAAATAGATACAAGCACACACTGCTGTAATTTGAATGTGATCTCCAAAAAACATGTAGGTGGGGCCTAATGGGAGAAGTTGAGGTCCACCATCATGAATGCATTAATGTTGATTGTAAAGGGGCATGAGGCCATAAGTTCAAGCTCTTGTTCTCTCTCACCATGTGATGAGTTCTACCACATTATGATACAGTAAGATGTCGCTCACTATATTACATGCAGCCCCTTGATCTTGAACTTCCCAGCCTACAGAACTACAAGAAACAATCCTACTCTTTATAAATTACCGGTTTGCAGTATTCCATCATGGCAACATGAAACAGACACACAGACACACACACACACACACACACACACACACACACATAATTATTAGGGGTTTAGATGCTGACACAAGCTTTATTATCTATTTCACTTCAGTCATTGCAGATTTTTTGACTAAAAACATGTATTTATAAAATATATATTCATATGAAATATTTTTCATATAAGAATTAAAAATTATCATCACAAAACTGATCGTGAAACTTTTATCTGAATATATTATTGATATACTTCCTTGTAAAATTGTTTTTTTTTTTACTTTTACTTTTTGTGCTAGAGATTGAACCCAGAGGCACATAACCACTAAACCACATCCCCCATAGCTTTTTATCTTGATACAGGATCTCACTAAGCTGATTATGTGCTTCCTAAATTGCTGAGGCTGGCATTAAAGTCATGATCCTCCTGACTATGCCTCATGAGCCATTGGGATTAGAGGTGTGAACCACTGCACCTGGCCCAAAATCTTTTCAAAACTGTTTCAATGTATTAAACAGAATTTAGGAAACATAATGTGATAAAGGGCAATCAAAAAGCAATAGTGACACCAAAATGACCTAAATTTAAAACTGGTCCTATTTGAGGCATTTCATAGTATTTAAATTACAATACAATATTAAAGCATTGTGATTATTCCACATTAGTTACATTTTAGTATATACGCCTTTAGTCACAGGCTTTTTTTTTTTTTATACCAAGGTTGAACCTAGGGGCGCTCAACCACTGAGCCACATCCCCAGCTTTTTATTTTTTTTATAATTTCAGACATCTCCAGCCCTTTAAAAAAAAAAAAAAAAATATATATATATATATATATATATATATATATATATATATGAGAGAGAGAGACAGAGAGAGAGAGACAGACAGACAGACAGACTATCTCACTAAGTTGCTGAGGGCCTAGCAAAATTGGTGAGGGTGGCTTTGAACTTGGGATCCTCCTGCCTCAGCCCCCCAAGCAGCTGGGATTATAGGTTTATCAATCATACCCAACTACCCAACTACTAAGGCATATTTTTAAATACAAGTGTCAAGATACAGAAGTTCTTTAGAAAGCAATTGCCAGAAAGCTAGTATTATGATATTATGATAGTAGAAAGTATAATTTTCAGTCATATAGAGAGTTTTCTTAAAATAAAGAAAGAATACACATAGCACCATGGATTTGTACCTTGTATTCTACTGTCATTCTGCTCTGTGAAACAAAAAACAAAATACACTGGGGTTCATGGTCTATTTGATCGATAAAACCAAAACAGCAAAGATTACCACAACCCACACTAAACAAACAAAATTCTAGGTTTCATGGAATCACTTTTTTTCCTTCAAAGGACACAAACAGGTTTATATCGTCTGAAATAAATTTGGGAAGCATACACTTTTGAGCTCTGAAAGTCCTCAGAGTTATAAAATGGATAATTCCATTCTATAATACAATGCAATACAATTTCAAATATAAGATTTATGGGACATTCTCTTATTTAAAAGGCAAAATATATAATTTCATCCTCAGAAAATGTTTCCTTGATCTAACCTCCTATTACTTTTTAATCTCTTACAGGAGTAAATAATACAAACAGACAAGGCTAATTACTTCAAATTAAAATCTTAGAAGCATTATTACTTTCCCCATTGTGTTCTTCACTGGTGCCAAGCACTGCTAAGTGATGCCTTGCTGCCTGCAACATCAGGCTGAGACTCATTAGGCTGTCAATGAAGTTTCTGAGATGCTTACTTTATTGCTCCAGCCTTACTGTCAACTATTTCTCTCACTTGATCTAAAACATTCTACTACTGTGCCTTGCTCAGCTTATTTTCTCTTTAAAAATACAAGCCCCTTTCCATGCCTTTAAAACTCCATCCCTCATATTTTAACTCCTGGCCTCTTCCATAAAAACTTCTCTAATCAAAACATTCAAAAGTACTCTCTTCTGCATTTCAACTACAAGATATCATTTTTCATGTAACCTTCTCACATTCATCCTTGTTCTATCAGTTACTCATGTGGATGTGTGTATATACATAATTATTTTCCTCAACTTTAAGATTTTAAACACATTCAAAAAACAATGGTTCTATGATCATTTTCAAATCACTAAAAGATACCATACTACATACAACATAAAATGCCCTTAATTGCTTATCAAATTAAAGAATGAACATATTGTCTGACCATACATATGAATACTTTAATAACTTAGAACTATTACAAAAAGAAGACAAAAACAGGCTATTAAAATGTACAACACTATCAAATACATACTAACCAAAATTATCTCCTGCATTTCTTATATCAGTGAACAAACAAAAATATTTTTATGATTAATGTTTACAAATTCTTTAATATTATCATTTAATATGTAGACCAGGAATAGTTTCAAAGCAGTTCTAAATCAATTACCTTTGCTTGCACTTTCTACATGCTCCAATTCTTCAGGAAATTTCAGGATGTCTCGGTATTTTTCCTCACAGATTTCAGCAATAAAATGCAAAAGGGTTGTTTTTTGATCTGCTGATTTAGTATCTCTAATCTGGAAGGAAACAACAAGAAACATTTAAGTAATTTTTTTAGTAATTTAAATGGACTTTTTAAAGTGGAACAAATGAATGAGTTAATTCAATTCATTATAACTCACTTAAATTTTTTTAAAAACTCAGGGGCAGATTGTTAATGGGGTCTAGTGGCAAAGATGTGGAGCTTAAAACAAGCATCACATTATAAAAGCAAGAAATATGACCAACAAATGTGCCAAATTAAACCTTAATATATATTTTTTTCAATGTCTGCATCATTATAGGAAATGAACTATTCTTTTCATGAGAGAAAAGCATTCATTTAAGTATTTATAGTAATAGTCTAAGATAATGTGTGTTTATGTTAGCAGCATTCTGTTCTTTGCTTATTACAAAAATATATTCTTGAAAGCTGGGTTCATTTGTGAAATTGTATTTATTTCTATCCATCATTGATGTAAATTAATGTAAGAGTAAGTACATTTTACCCTCCTTTACTTGCATGGGCCATCAGACAATAATTCTCGAGGCTGCTCTTTTCAGAATTATAAAAGGAATCTGACCACACAATTGTGATAACATGAAATATTTTCTGTATCTGCTTACATATTACATTGATTTTTCAGAGACACCAGGTTAAACATGTCACAGTTATAAAAATAAAAAAAAATCTTTAATGTGTATATGAGATTCTAGTGCCTTCTTGAATATAACTTACAGTACACTAAGCTGCAAAAGAAATCAAGGATTTACTTAGAAACAAAGCATAAAAACAGCACAAATTATCAAATTTTTGTTCATTCTATTGGATGTTTTAATTCTATAATCCTTAGATGATGGGTTAAAGATTACTCTGTTTAAGATAAATGAATATTCTTCACAGACAGGTTTATGAAAAGACTTCAGAGGATATTTAGCTAATTATAGAGTAAATTAATCCTCATTGTTTTAGTGACTAAGAAAAAAAATAGCGCTTAATAAATCAGGCCCTTACTGAATCTATTTTGTACTACAGCTTTTAATCTCAAGGCTGCAAAAATACAAATGGCCAGGGGATTCATAATATTGATAGTTCTAATGGTCTTAAATATTTCTTTTAGAATTTCTAGGATTGCCTTATCCCATGTAGGTAAAATGTTTGAAATTTGGCATTAGCACACAGATCCTCTAAGTACTTTTAAATACTTAAAGATAGAACAACACACCTCAAGGACAAAGTATAAGAACAAAAAACAATACAAACCTCAAGGGCAATTTGTATTTAAGTAAAGCCAGCTGCTATTGAGTACTCAATGGGGGGGGGGCTCTCATTCCTGACAAAGGGTCTTTATCTGAGATTAGGGTGCTATCTGTGTATAAAGTACATCATTTTCAGAATATATTGGACATTTCAAATAATAAGAAAATTAACGGTTTCTTTTTTTCTTAAAAAATTAGCTAGCCTCATAAATCCTAAAATCCTAAAAACAACAGGAGCTTAGAGAAACTCAGGTACATCTTACTAAAGGCAGGAAAGTGATCTATGTTTTATTTGGTTGAGAACCAAACAAAAATAACTAACAAAGAACAAAATACTAAACAATACTATAAACCCACCATGTTTTTTAATGACACTAAATATACACCACATTCTGGTTGGGATGGGGTTGTGGCTCAGTGTTAGAGTGATTGCCTAGCATGCATGAGGCACTGGGTGCCATCCCCAGCACCGCCTTAAAAACAACAACAACAAAAAAAAAAAACAGAAACTAAATAAACAAAATGAAGGTATTATGTCCATTTACAACTAAAAATATTTTTAAAAAGACACTATGTTTTTTTAAAAACTGCACATAACTAATACTGGAAACACGGAAACAGAAAAATGGCATTCTGCTCATGTGTCAATTTTATGGGTGATATTCTTTTTTTTCTTTCTCATGGGTGTTATCATTTTACATTAAAAAATTTAGCTTCTGGCATATATTTATAAAGAGTTTAATTTTCAGAAAATTTTTTATTAAAATATTCAGTATCAGTGTCATTAACAACTTAATTTCTTATGAAATTAATTAGAGTCAATGGTCACAATTTAAAAAGATAAATGAAGCATAACATTTTCAGTTAAGTAAATATCTTAGTATCTGATGAAATCAGAAAGGCTCATTCACAGAGAATACATGTGCTTTTTGGAATCATAATATTCCTTTCAAAGCACAGGCAAATGTGGCCAACCACCTGTCTGGTCAAGCTGAGAAGTATCTTCATTTGTCTGGAAGAGAAACTGCTTAATTTGAATTGCAATTTTTATTTTTATTTTTTGAGAGAGAGAGAGAGAGAGAGAGAGAAAATTTTTTAATATTTATTTTTTAGTTTTCAGTGGACACAATATCTTTATTTTTTTAATTTTTATGTGGTGCTGAGGATCGAACCCAGCGCTCCACACATTCCAGGTGAGCATGCTACTGCTTGAGCCACATCCCCAGCCCAATTTTTAATTTTTTAAAAAAAAATTCACACAGTCCATTTTAATGTTTCAAACTGGCAGGATATAATGACAAATAAACTATTATTTTAAATCTTTATGTGTATGACCCTTAAACCAAGTATTTTAAAATAAATACATAATACTAAAATATAACAGAATAGAATTTTTCCTTAGTGAAGTACATTTACTTTTTATTATCATGTCTTCCGTCTCTCTTACCTAGTCTATATCATTCAGATACTAGCTATTGTCTCTCTCCAAGGCCCTATTGTGTTGTTCAATGTCAGCACAGAAAGCAACTAAAAAGATTCACTTTCATCAATTCTACTAGTTAATGACATTTACCCAATAATTTGCTCTTGCAAGTGTACTAGCTGGATATAAATATCTCTTGGGGCACAGCAAAAGTAATTCAATCTGAGTAGGTACAAAATCACTTCCAAAGTATTTGGGATGGTTTATTAGGAAATAAAATTGATTACCATTTGATACCTGATTAACTTGAAGTCATGTTAAAATTTTACATTAACATCAAATATCCAAACAGTGCTTGCCAAGGTTGCCTAAGTCTTATTGAAGACTATACAGTAAGCATTTCAAGGTTTTCTCTAGCCAGAAGCAAATCTCTTTCTTCCTTTCACTGTTAGGCAGCCCACAAGACAGACACTTGACTAAGGGAGCAGAAGGATGAACACAATAGCCACTCCTGCTGCTTTCAGTCTGATTACAACTCTCCATCTTGTATACATTTTCCAACAAAAAGCACACATACAGTAGTTTCAGAAATTAAGCATTTTTGAAAAAGCAAAAAACATTTATATTATTTTAAAAAATGACTCACCCACAAATTAAAACAGTGAGAAGAGTGAGTCACTGTTTTAACTGACAAAGTGCCACCAGCTAATAAACCAAGTAGTGGTTTTCATTGTAATCATCTGACCAATAAATGTTACCCATAAAGATTAATAACTGAATTTAAGTTAATTATATCTACCTGATCTTTAATAACTTTCTGCAATGGTACATGAATACAAAATACCTTTAATACAACAATACCTGTTTCTAAAACTAATTCTGATTATTTCTCTTTTTTAAAGGAATATGAATGCTGTGTAAGAAATAATAACTTTTCCGAACATAAATATATTATTACAACTTTTGTCGGGCACATAGCAGAATATCTGAATAAATAATAGACCCTTAAGAAATTTCTTTATTCTAAATACCCTATTCAAGTTTGAAAATCATCAGTCTTCCCATAATTCTAAAATCGGCTGTTTGAGTACACAGAAACCAGCATGCAGCCAGACAGTCCAACACAACATTTTAATGATCTACGTCAGTCACACTCCATCTTTCTGTGAAGGACCCCTCCTGTAGGTAATTTTCCCTTCAGCTAAGATTTAAGCCTATTTCTTCTTGCTTTGTCCTCAGTGCGAACTGAAAATAACTGGTCACTATTCTCTTTATAACAACCTCTCAGAGTCAAGTATGCTTCTCTTTGGTCCTGATCTCTAAACTGAACCAAATAAATGCAGGTATTTCAACTTCTCCACATAGACACTATTCTTCAAATGTTTAATTTTTTTTCACAGTGATTAATACCCATTCAAAATTTCCATTGCAAAGGCTGCTGTCATCTACTGGGAAATAAGGCAAACTTCTTGGTTTTCCACATAAGACCCACTGTGAGAAGGTCTTTCTCTGTGTTTCTAACCTGCTTCCTGCTGCTTTCAGTCTGATTACAACTCCCTAAACACATACTACAGTTTCATACTACTGTGCTCTTGCACAGTTCCTTTGTCTAAATGTCCTCCCATATCTCTGTATTTTTTTTCTGTCAAGTAAATAACTTTACAGTTGAATACTACCCAAGTATCACCTCATTTCTGTAGAATTCGCTATCTTAGGAGTGACTTAGGACTTTTTAGATCATCTTCTACTCTGTAAACATTTCAACATGGTAGTTTCTTGTACTCAATATGAGCTCTATCAAGGGGAGACTCTCTGTTTATACACCCACACACACACACATACACACACACATACACACACACACAGTACCTAGAAGAATTCTAAAACCTACTAGGCAGTCAATAAATGTGTATGAAAGAAGTTTTTCTCCACATAAAATCCCTCGTGTGTAGTATAAAGTAATACTTCTAAATTTTACTCTTGTTTTTATGCCCAAACACACATTGACTACAGAGGGAAGCTTCTCCAGGACACCATATGTGCTAAGAGTGGTGGAAGTGAATTCTAGAATAAGTTATAATTTTCCCCACTGTGAGTTGGAGACCGTACTTAATACTAGAGATAAGAGATAAATAATAAGGTATGGTACCTTTAAAGCTTCCAGTTCAGAATTTAGTGGAAATTATAAAATTATATAGAAAAGACATGGTATAAAAGTAATTTAGTGGCAAATTTCAAAGACTAGTAAAATTAAATATGATAACTAGGGGGTTAGGGTTGTGGCTCAGTGGTAGAGCACTTGTTTAGCATGTGTGAGGCACTGAGTTTGATCCTCAGAACCACATAAAAATAAAT